TTAGATGAGAAGAATCAATCAAGGAATTGAGCTGCACATGCATTTAAAAAAAAAAAAGTCAATCCTGAAAACACATTTTAACATTTTCTAAATAAAATTAAGTAGCTGTTTATACAAATGAACCCATAACATCACTCACCCTCAAAATCAAGATGTATTGTGCAAACCCTCTTTTCCACACATGTTCTGTCCAGCAACACTCGGTTCCTTGTTTTAGAGACAACAAAATTGAAGCTCATAAAGGTCACTCTACTGTGAGTGATGGAAGCAAAAACCAGACCAGACCTGTCCACCTCTAGTCACTACCTGTGGTCATCGAAGCTTCGTGCAAGCTGATTAAATGACCAAGTAGAGTAGGTGCTCTGGGAAACGTTTCTACTCAATGAAATCCTATGTGACTATTAAAATTGTAAAGGTGGTTCTACTAACAAGGCCATATAAGGTTGTAATGCCATCTCTGACCAAGAACGTTCATAAATTATCTCCTTTAATCTTTCTCCAACAATCACGTGCGGTAAACATTCCTAGAGCAGACTTGGGGGTCAAGATGACTCCACTCGGGAAAATAACAACCCCTGTTTTCACAAGCACCACATTGGACATTACACCACAACAGCCTGGCTTAAAGTGCACAGAGGCCCTCAAATAATTAGAACTCTCGCTTCTTAGTCTGCACTAAAGAAAACTGGGTCATAGAAGAGACATTCTGATCTCCGGTTCAGAACAGATACTTTCCCATTTGATTCACAATAGTGTTCATTTAAACCAAGCTTGTGATACTCATTTTGTGTTTTTCTAAAATGTTTTTAACTTTAATACATCAAGTTTCCATTAGACTTTGTCTTTACAAATGACCAGTGACTCAGGACTTACAATTTCAATCTGTCAGTAATGAAATGGTTAAACTTGCGGGTTTAACACCCTGGTGGATATCTCTCTCCCTCAACCACCAAAGTGGGGGGGGGGGGTCACAGTCAGTTACTCCCGTTACACCAGCGTTCACTGGAACATCTGTAGGCACACAAAACACTCTACCCTTCAGCCGTCAGCTTGCCACAGTCACACTAAACAGTCAGTGACTCTTCCCCAAGTGCCGAGTTTTAATTCCTGGCTTAGCCGCAAGGATTCAGAGAGGGATAAGCAGCCCCTCTGGCCTTCAGGTAGGTCCAATACCTTCATTTCTAGCAAAGCTAAAAGATGGGAACCTATGTTTATAAACTTTAAGGGACTGTTGATGCCACAGTAAAGCAGTATGCTGGCTACGGATGAACAGGGCATCTGGCTAGGGAAGAAGTACTATAGATCTTGGAAGTATGGGGTGACTTGGCCTCCAGCTACTGCAAGGATTAACTGTGTTTCCTTCAGGGTATTACTATTAATCTTGGGACATAAATGATCCTCCGGCATCAGCATAGAAAGATAGGCCTAATCCTGGTTTCAAGGCCAGCAGAAATCAAATATCTATACCTCTAACCTGATTAACCATGCAAACAGTGTTAATTCACACACTAAGTGGTCGCAGTACATGGGGTACTTGCTATTTTGGAGTCAGGAAACACGGGCGATGCTGATCTGTAAGATTTAGTGCTTCAGAGTAGACTATCTGTCTTTGGAGAGAAAGTCAGTTCAGACACAGGAAACTGCAAACCCAGACCTCACACCATTAGTTCTCTTCTGATAATACTCAACTATGCCCTGGCTTCAAAGTCAGTGAGTGAATATTGCCCTGCTGGGGAATGCTAGCACAGGGCTGAGGAAACTGTGCTAAGGGGATTGGCCCTGTATTCCTTCCTTTTAAAAAGAATCTTTAATGTGTTGACTTTGAAATTTCCCTGAGTTGAAAAGCAGTCTTTTTCCTTTTTTAATCTGCCTGATATTTTTGGGTTATTTTAGATCTAGCATAATTTTTAAGCAACTTTTAAAACCCTAGATGTAACTAATATAGTTATATATTAAAGCCATGGAAAAGATACAATTGTCAACTCCAGTAAAAAATAGACGCGCCAAAATTTCACCAATTCAGTATGTCAAAAATGCTAAAACACTTCCAATGCTCCTATTATTTAGATATATGAATCGTCTGACTAAGACAGATCATCTAAGATTTAAACGGGCAAACCCTTGCCTATGTTCCAAGAGGAGACAATGTAGCTAGGACTCCAAGTTTGCTACAAAATGGACAATCTTCCCTATGCACTGCTCAAGAAATTGCTTCTATTTAATCCATAATATTCCAAATCTCTATGACAACCTTCACATAGCACAGAGGGCTATAGTGAAAACTCTCTCTCTCTCTCTCTCTCTCTCTCTCTCTCTCTCTCTCTCTCTCTCTCGCTCTCTCGCTCTCTCGCTCTCTCGCTCTCTCGCTCTCTCGCTCTCTCGCTCTCGCTCTCGCTCTCGCTCTCGCTCTCCCCCTCCCTCCCTCCCTCCCCCCTCCCCCCTCTTCCCTTGGGATCTGGAACCCACTGTCCCTGTACAGCTTGTTCTACGATCCTGAATCCATTCTCCTGGGTGTTTGAAATAAGTAAGTTTGAACTCAGTGCTGCCTTCACCCAAATGAGGCAAAGCTCTGAAAATAATCACTCTGCATGGAGTGTGTAATCGCCTATGGTTTTCACTTCCTGGATTAGGGGGTCAACCTTTTCTTTTAGTTCCTATGGGCAGAATGTTCTCAGTTGAAGGAAGATCCTCTCTTACGCATACTTGAACAGCCCAAGAATAAATTAAACATTTTCCCAGGTTATTTCACAATCAGAGCAAGCTGCTGGATCTACAAACCACCAAAGCCTGAGGAAGGGGGGCTTGCTTTCATAGCACCAGAAATAATCTGTCTCAGGCACCATTTCCTCTCTTGACTTAGTCCATGAAAGAATATTAAAATATCATGTCTTGAGTACTCTCTCAAATAAACTGTAAGTCATAGCTGCAAGGGAATGCTTAGCAATTAATGGCATGTAAACTACAGACATGCTTCAGGGATATAGATAGATAGATAGATAGATAGATAGATAGATAGATAGATAGATAGATAGAGATATATCAGATATTACATGACCCAAGGAACATTTGCAGGAGGAACAGAAATATAGTGTCCAGTAACATTTGCTGACTAATTTCCGTGCACCAGGGACTACGCCTTATAATTGACATATGCTAAGTTACTTCACAAAGCAATCCAATGAATAGGTACTAATATTATCCCCATTTTCAGATAAAAGAGAGAAAATCGGTTGTCAAGGATGATTACAAAGGAACTAGGTGGTAGAGTAACAGATTCAGACTCATCAAGTCTAACTTTGGATCTTGCACACACCACGATGGCTTACAGAGAGAATGACAAGAACAAAATGCCCCTTGTTATTTAAACTGAGTCACCACCAATACCTGTGGCTTATAAATTTATCCGACTATTATTAGTTCAAAAGTCTATCATTGGCACCACCCCCTCTACTGCTCGGAGAACATCTTGAAGGAAGGGAGGGAGCCAAAAGACTGTTAAGAGCCTGAGGATAGAGGGCTGTGAAAAGCTCTCTTTAAGATATGGCACAGGCACTACAATCATGAACTCACGGCGGCTGTGGTTTCCTGGACTGGGCCTGCATAACAATGGCCCCATCAACAGCCAGTTGTGGATGTGAGGGGAGCTCACCAGGCCCTGCTCCACTCTGCAGCACTACTGACTACTGATAGATTTGGAGAGAGAAGGAGCCACTGCCTTCAGATATGCACCCATTCGGGAGCACTCCAAGCTTCTATAGACAGTTCCAACCCCACAGTCACACAGATGTCTCTGGTTAAACTCAGTGGGTCACAAAACAAAACAAAAACAAAAACAAAAAATGTTTATCTCTCTACATCCACTGACCAAATTCCACCATCCTATAACCCCTTCCAAACATCTCAAGCATCATTCATGTGTGATGTCATTAGCAGCAGATAACTGAGCCCTAACAGCCTTGTTATCTATTAGTTCAAGGACAATGGTATCTACTATTTACTGTGTTCGAGCCCTGTTATGAGTCCTCTGCAATTCCTAAATTACTAATCATAACTAATATTGACCTATGTGGGTAAAATTACCATTTTACAGATGAGGAAATCGAGCCATAGAGTTAAACAGCTTGCTCAAAGTCAAGTAGTTACTAAGTGACAGCCAGGATTTGACAGCACTGGGTCCCAGTCTTGACCATTGTTTTATTCTGTTTTTTAAACAACTTACTCTAAAAAAAAGTCAATCTTATTTTGTTTCAACATTTAGTGCCAAAACAGAGTGTTTCACATCTGCAAGCAGCAAGAGTACTTCATCTCTCTCTAAGGTAGGTAACAGTACAAACTTCCCAAGCTTACTCTATCTGATAAGTATTTCTTCACGGCAGTACAATACGAAAAGGAGCCCTTTTTATACTCAATATAAAATTACTCAAGAATCATCTCACAGTTCGTGGGCTGGAAGTGATCTGAAACTAGGTGTTGGGGCAGGGGGTATTTCAGGAACTGTCTCTGCTTCGCTCAAGAATCCTCAAAACAAGAAGGAAGGAAAGCTGCTGAGCAGGAAGGGGGGCGGGGGTCTTCCAAACTGTCCCTTGCAACCGCCTAATTACTACATTTCCATTAGTAAGTGCAGGAGTGGGGAAAAAAATCATTTTCAAACAGCTTCTCCCCTGCGTGCTAAGTATTCTGAGACTCGTCTTTTGGTTCTGAAAGACAGTCACCTTTCCTAACTCCCTGTCCCAGCAAGCGAAGAGTCCTCAGAGTGCAATTCTGAGTCTCGCTTCAATACATCCAGAGTGGAGTCAGGAAAGACAACTCAACCATGGCTTCCCGTCAGACTGCGGTTTCCAGGCAACCACACTTTGGCCAGAAGTATGTGTGCCTCCTGCCAGGACACCCTACTAAGAGTTCCAGGAGCTGCGGCTATTCCTGAGCACAGGTTTGCAGGAGCCCCTCCTGGTACTCTTGCCTTCCAGCGCCCGGTTGTCGGCAGAGGGGCGCTTTCTCACCTCCGTTCCCTAGCTGTCCGTCACCTTGGCACCCATCTAGTCACTTCGCACTTTTGGAGTCCTTATCCAGTCAGCCTAAGAAGGCTCCAGTCCTGAAGCAACAAGGAGACAAACCATAGAAAACGGATTCCTGGGAAATGTAGTTCTATTGGCTCCTATGCACGGTCGCTCTAGGAAAAAAAAGGACTACAGTTCCCAGAAATCAAAGCGAAGCGAGTCCGCCACTAAAATATGTCCCAGCGGTCAGAATTGAATTAAGTAGGAAAGGTCTGTGACTCTTCGCTTCCTGATTTGAGGTCTTACAGTTCTAGGACAAGCATGTTAAATGGTTTTTCTTTTAAACAAGCCTTTTGCATGTGAGAAAATATAAACATAATGATGTATATGAAAAGATATTTTAAGATTGCGTTTTATACTTCTTTCAGATAAAAGACCTAACTCACAATCAAAAATGTCCCTGCAGATGATTACAGTGGGTCATAATATAGCCTTAATTCAACCAGGCTTCTCACTGATGAATTTTGATGGTCAAGTTTTCTTCTTTGGCCAAAAGGGCTGGCCCAAGAGATCCTGCCCTACTGGAGTCTTCCACTTTGATATAAAGCAAAATCATCTCAAACTGAAGCCTGCGGTTTTCTCTAAAGATTCCTGCTACCTTCCACCGCTTCGCTACCCAGCTACTTGCTCTTTCAAAGGCAGTTTAGAGTCTGAAAAGCATCAGTATATCATCCACGGAGGGAAAACACCAAACAATGAGCTTTCCGATAAGATTTATATCATGTCCGTTGCTTGCAAGAACAACAAAAAGGTTACTTTCCGTTGCACAGAGAGAGATTTAGTAGGAGATGTCCCCGAAGCCAGATATGGTCACTCCATTGATGTGGTGTACAGTCGAGGGAAAAGCATGGGTGTTCTCTTCGGAGGACGGTCATACATGCCTTCTACCCAGAGAACCACAGAAAAATGGAATAGTGTAGCTGACTGCCTGCCCCATGTCTTCTTGGTAGATTTTGAATTTGGGTGTGCTACATCATACATTCTTCCAGAACTTCAGGACGGGCTGTCTTTTCATGTTTCTATTGCCAGAAATGATACGGTTTACATTTTAGGAGGACACTCACTTGCCAATAACATCCGCCCTGCCAACCTGTATAGAATAAGGGTAGATCTTCCCCTGGGAAGCCCAGCAGTAAACTGCACAGTCTTGCCAGGAGGAATCTCTGTTTCCAGTGCAATCCTCACTCAAACAAATAATGATGAATTTGTTATTGTTGGTGGTTATCAGCTGGAAAATCAAAAAAGGATGGTCTGCAACATTGTCTCTCTAGGGAACAACACAATAGAAATTAGTGAAATGGAGACCCCGGATTGGACCCCAGATATTAAACATAGCAAAATATGGTTTGGAAGCAGCATGGGAAATGGGACTGTTTTCCTTGGCATACCAGGAGACAATAAGCAGGCCATGTCAGAAGCATTCTATTTCTATATGTTGAAATGCTCTGAAGATGATGTGAGTGAAGAGCAGAAAATCTTCACAAGCAGTCAGACATCAACAGAAGATCCTGGGGACTCCACTCCCTTTGAAGATTCAGAAGAGTTTTGTTTCAGTGCAGAAGCAACCAGTTTTGATGGTGATGATGAATTTGACACCTACAATGAAGATGACGAGGATGATGAGTCTGTAACTGGCTACTGGATAACATGCTGCCCTACTTGTGATGTGGACATCAATACTTGGGTTCCATTCTATTCAACTGAGCTCAATAAGCCTGCTATGATCTACTGTTCTCATGGAGATGGGCACTGGGTACATGCCCAGTGCATGGATCTGGCGGAACGCACACTCATCCACTTGTCAGAAGGAAGTAACAAATATTACTGCAATGAGCATGTACAGATAGCAAGAGCATTACAGACTCCCAAAAGAAGTCTGCCCTTACAAAAACCTCCAATGAAATCGCTCCACAAAAAAGGTTCTGGGAAAGTCTTGACTCCTGCCAAGAAATCCTTTCTTAGAAGGTTGTTTGATTAGTTTAGCAAAAGCTCCTCAAATTCAGGTGCACTGACCTACATTTTAAATCATAATAGTGATATAAATGAAATTTTGATTTTTGTTTACTGAAAAATCTCTGTGCCGTGTTTTGGTTGTATGAATTAAGTGCTAGTTTTAATTCATGTTAAATATAGTTATTTTAACATGTGTGTTTTTAACATTTTACTCAAAAATTTCTTAAATGAGAAATGTTATCTAATTTTTATTCAGAATAGCAGTTATAAAGTATACATAGAACTCTTGCATTATTTTGTAACAATCTACATGTTGAATAGTAATTAAATACCAATAATAAACTAATGCACAAATGAATTAAATTGTTTTTGTGTAATAAGTAGCTTATAGTTGGTTTAAAAAGTTAAAGTCAAGATCAACTACATCCCACAGTGCTGCTCTTTGTAAACTTTAAGGCAGCCCCTTGGATTATACCCATGAACTGAAATACATCTATATTTCCGGCAGTAACACAAAGTAAAAATTAATATACATCAAGCCAGGAATAATGACACATATGCCTGTAATCCTGGCACTTGGCAAGTGGAGGCAGGTGAACTGTGAGGTAGAATTGTCACCTACTATGGTGGTTTGAATGAAAATGGTCCCCATAAGCTCATAGGGAGTGGCACTATTAAGAAGTGTGGCCTTATTGGAGTAGGTGTGGCCTTGTTGGAGGAAGTGTGTCACTGGGGATGGGCTTTGAGGTTTCAGATGCTCAAGCCAGGCCCAGTGTCAGTCTCTGTTCCTGCTGCCTGTCAATGCAGATGTAGAACTCTCAGCTCTTTTCCAGCATCATGTCTGCCTGCATGCTGTCATGCTTCCTACCACGATGACAATAGACTAAAATTCTGAATTGCAAGCCTGCCTCAGTTAAGTGTTTTTCTTTATAAGAATTACCGTGGTCATGGTCTCTCTTCACAGCAATAGAAGCCCTAAGACACCTACTATGCCCAAAGTCCTGAATTCAATACTGTGGCACATGTTCTTGAATTATCTACATGCACTTCAGATGGGTTAAAACATATTCCAACAATAAACCTTTGTCTGAATCACTTTGGGACTCATTTTAAATCCCTTCAAAATCTTTGGTTCATCCCTTTGAAATTGCTCAACTGCTGTCTCTCTTCTTCATTAAAGACAGTTATCTCTGGAAACGTTTAAATGTCATTCAAGGCCCTGAATATTGCATTATCATTTTAAGCAAAAAGTGAAACATGAGCATGAGCTTATATAATGATTTTGGACTTCCACTCTCAGAAGGGCTCTAATTCTAAGTCCTGAATGGTTTTCAAAATAGTATAAGAAGGATATCAAGAAATATGCTATCAGTGAAAAGAAAATTTTCATATTCCATGAATGAAAACTCTTCATTTCTTGTATGAAAATCACCAAATCCCTCATCGTGGCTTGACATGATTCTTTAGTTCCTTCCCTTCCTTCCCTGAATCCTCTGTGTGTTTGAGTTCCATAATTGTTCAACATCCTTTCTCAAAAAATAAAAATAAGGTGGATGGCGCCTGAGGAGAAATGACATTTGAAGTTGACCTCTGACCTCCACATACATATGCATATATGTGCACATACTTCTGCACACTCATAACCATGTACACATATGGACACACACAACTTTTTTTTAATTCCAAGATCCACATTAAACATGGAATCTGCACAAAACAACAAAACTCGTCTCTAGAGAACTTGTTGTCTCACTATAGAAAGAGGCCAAGGACAGGGCAGGCAAGGTATAGAAAACACATCTGTATATCCTTGAGCTGTTTATGTAGGAAAGGCTGTCCATGCAATATTAATTCTTTTCTAACCTGGAATATGCTGATAAAATTAGAAAATAGGGCCAAAACATCTCAAATTTTCTATCCCCTATCAACCTTTGATGAAGAATTACTGTGGCAAGGATTTTTTTAATCTAGACTAAAGCATTTGAAGTGATATACAGAACGTATAGTGAGCACTCAAAAAAGAAATGGGGATCTGTGTTGTAAAGGGTGACCAAATTTTGTGACAACTTTAAGATAACTCTGTCTTAAAGACAGAGATGGAAAGATAATTATAGAAACTGATCAATTCGTCAGACTTTGACCTGACCTTAGTATAGAAATACACAGATCTTAGCTTTCAAGTAAATTAAGATATGTGTGTACATGCATGTGTGTGCTTGTGTGCGTGTATGTGTCTGTCTGTCTATCTGTCTATGTACACACATGTTCCTCTGTGTTTGTGTCCACATGTGTGAGTGTTTACACCTGTGTGTGAGCCTGTGTGAGTGTATGCTTGTATGTGGAGGCCACAAGACAACCACAGGTGTCATTTTTCAGATGCCCTCCACCTTTTTGTGACAGAGTCTCTGTCTGGCCTGGAACTGGCCAAGTAAGTTAGACTAGATGGCCATCCGACACTGCCTTGTCTCCACCTCCCCTCACTGACATTAAGAGAAGATTCCAACACCCTGGCTTTTTATGTGGGTTCTGGGGATCAAACTCAGCTTCCCACTCCCTTACATGCCAAGCACTGTAACAATCAAGCTATCACTCCAGTCTGAAATGAATTTTTTTTAAAGTCAGAAATACATTGTCATCATCAGGAGAGGATAAAAAGCAATAAAAGGAGAGAGGAAATTTCCATGGGACAGAGGAGGAGAGAACAGGGGAAGTAACAGCGTCATGAAAAGAGGAGACTTTTGAGTACTAATGACCCTGCTTCATCTCTTCCCACCTAGGCTGGGCACAGTTGTCTGAGAGAGTGAGATATTAATTTGTAGGCAATGTACCATTGAAGCAAAAGGGGATGTTAAACTTGCCTCCAGTTCCTTTAAATACACACACATAACCTTTCTCATACCTGCACAGAGCCTTCTGAGCTTAATACTTTCCAAGAGCATGCCCCTTGTGCCTTGCTCCAGCATGGTTTAGATTGTATCATGTGACCACCTCAGACTCTTCGATGGTTTTCTTTTACACACAGGGTATGTCCTCTGGGTCCTGCACGATAAAGCTTCTGCCTGATTCTCCAGTAGTCCAACCCCTCCTCCTCAGTCTCTTACTGTCCACTTGTCTTTC